TATTATCTTTAATCATGTCCTCCTCTCCTTCCCTCCCCCCACAATCATTCAGTATATTTTAGTTTTACTTTGTTGACTAAGGGAATCTTGTGATATTTTGTATCCCAGGTACATTACTTAGAACAATGGGGAACAAGCAGCCTGTCAAAGTTGTGTTTTCCATTGGGTCATCCCTTTGCAAACACCATTAGTAGTTATTTAGATTTGTCAACAGACCTAGAGGATGCTTTTGTCTTTTTCTCTTTAACAGTCTGCCTTGCAAATGTTATTGTCTATGGTATCAGGAAACTCTTGTTTACAAGCAAAGACTATCTTCTATAACCTCCTTTTAATACCATTAGGATAAGTTTGCAGGATTTTGCTGAACTTAAGTTGCATCTGCACTGGGAAATTGGTAACCTGTACCTGGGGTCAGTTTACTCGCATGTTCCAAAGGTAGAACTTTGATTTTTTGCCTCTTATCTAATCTTACCAACACCAGCTTTTGATATTGAGGTGACAAAAGATATCTGAGCCACCACAGATTCCAACATTGCGCTAGTGGTAGAGCTACATGCACCAGGAATTAGAGGTCTTTCTTTGTGTGGTTAAGGCCACAATGTAACTGATTTTAATACATTTCCTTTAAACATCAGAATTCATTTTTGTGGTATTTTGTGATAAGCTTTGCCATTAATCGTTATTGCTAGTAAGCACTACTTAATGGTCTAATATGGGACTTTCTTCACCATCAACACTGGTAGCAAAAATGATTCACTGGTATAATGTCCATTTCTGGACCTAAATTTCTCTAATATTTACATACGCTTTGACTGATAAGATCCACATCTTTTCACTTCCATTTTTCTAAATCAATATCAAGTGTGGAATGGTGTTTTTTCTTCTTTGGAAACAGTGCATCAGGGTAGACTGCTATTCGTTTGCTACTGTAACTCTTCGTCTGCTCCATCTGTTGTTATTGCAATGCAATGGGATTCCTTTGTGGCAGGCTCTGTACAAATTATACAAGGTGCTTTCCCTGAAAAAAACCAACTGTAGTTAGTCAGAAGTCTGATGGACCATTTTTCCATTGGGAGACTATTGAAACTGAAATGCTTTGTTAAATGTCATCTCATTTTGGAGAAAATGAGCATGGAATAAAGTTCAGACAAAGTTGTGCTGTTCCTCCTGATATTTTCCAAATGAAACACTTTACTTTTTCATTTAGTTTTATTTTGATTATTTTTAGTTTGAAGAACAGTATAGTTGCATAATTAAAAAGCAAAATCAAATTGAACATGTCAAAATGAAAAGTGTGAACTGATCTGAAACAGTTAATTTCAGAACTTTATCAGGGCTTTATTTCCAGGCCTAAATTACAATTACAAATGATAATGTCTCAAAATAATCCAAATAGTAATTTCCATTTTCCACACTGCTCTGCTTAACAGGCCAAATAGAGAAGACAGACAAGAATGAGAAAAAGGAGTAGAACAGACACAAAGAACAAACAATATAATATTCTTTCAGATGTTATCTTAGTTCCATTGATTCACTGCCATATTTGGATCTAGAAATAGTTAGTAGGCCTGTGCTAATTGGCTAGTATTCGCTTTGGACTTGGATTCAGCCGATTCAGGGGACAGTGATTCAATTCGGTGATTTGAATCACTGTCCTGAATCGATTCAGCTGAATCTGATTCGGAGATTAGGCTGCTGCCAAATTGGCCAGATCTCTAAATTGGACAGGCACCATCCCCCACCCACTCTCCCAGCACATTCAATGGCTGCCCAGGCCCTTAAAAAAAAAAAAAAAAAGACCCAGACTCACTGCCTGCCAGGTGGGGGGGAAGCGATCCCCACTGCACCCCACTGCCCTGCGCTATGGGGAGGGGCTCTGCAATGAGCCCTCAGAAGTCCCAAGGCTGCTGCAGCAGCCAGTAAGTGGGAGCTATTTTTTTTTAAAGAGCCAAGAGCGCTGGGCAGCCATGGGGGGGGTGGGCCTGGGAGAGCAGGCATGGGCCACGGGGCTCGTGGCAGAGCCCCCACACAGTGTGGAATAGTGGGGTGCAGTGGGGATCACCCCCTCACATGGCAGCAGCCGGTGAGTGGGGACTCTTTTTTTTTTTTTTTTAAAGAGCTGGGAGCTGCTGCCAGGTGGGACAGCCATGCGGGGGGGCTGGGAGAGTGGGTGGGGATCAGGGGGTGCTCAGGGGAGCTGG